CATCATCACTGGCCATCAGAGAAATGCAAATCAAAACCACAATGAGATACCATCTCACACCAGTTAGAATGGCGATCATTAAAAAGTCAGGAAACAACACATGCTGGAGAGGATGTGGAGAAATATTTTCCATTTTTATAGACAAACAGGAACAAGTTGGTCACCTGATATAGTTTGAATTTGTGTTTCTGCCCAAATCGCATGTTGAATCGTAATCCTCAATATTGGAGGAGGGGGCTCGTAGGAGGTGATTGGATCATGGGGGCAGACATCCTCCTTGCTGTTCTCATAATAGTGAGTTCTCACAAGATTTTGTTGCTTCAAAGTGTGTGGCACCGCTCCCCTCTCTCTCTGCCTCCTTCTCTGGCCATGTAAGACATGCTTACTTCCCCTTCACCTTCTGCCATGATTGTAAGTTTCCTGAGGCCTCCCAAGCTGTGCTTCCTGTACAGCCTGCAGAACTGTGAGTCAATTAAACCTCTTTTCTTTATAAATTACTCAGTCTCAGTTAGTTATTTACAGCAATGTGAGAACAGATCAATACAGAAAATTCATACTAGAAAGTGGGGTATTGCTGTAAAAATAACTGTAAATGTGAAAGCAACTTTGGAACTGGACAACAGACAGAGGTTCAAATAGTTTGGAGGGCTCAGAAGAAGACAGGAATATGAGGGAAAGTTTGGAACTTCCTAGAGATTTGTTAAATTGTTTTGACCAAAGTGCTCAGAGTGACATGGACATTGAAGTCCAGGCTGAGGTTGTCTCAGATGGAGATGAGGAATTTATTGGGACCTGGAGTAAAAGAAACTCTTGCTAAGCTTTAGCAAAGAGACTGGTGGCATTCTGCTCCTGCTCAAGGAACCTGTGGAACTTTGGACTCAAGAGTGGTGATTTAGGGTACCAGGTAGAAAAAAAATCTAAACAGCAAAGCATTCAAGATTTGGTGTGATTGCTTCATGTGTGGTCATATACATAAGCAAAGAGATTAGCTAAAACTGGAACTTATATTTCAAAGGAAAACAGGGAATAAAAGCTTAGGAAATTTTTAGTCTGACCATGTAGAATTCCTCTCCCCATGTTTGGGAGAGGAATTCAAGTCACTTCAGAAATTTGCATAAGTAAAGAGGAGCTGACTATTAATAGCCAAGACAATGGGGGAAATGCCTTGAAGGCATTTCAGAGACCTTTGTGGCAGCCCCTCCCATCACAGGCCTGGAGGCCTAGGAGGGAAGAATGGTTTCCAGGGACTGGCCTATAGCCCTGCTGCCCTGTGCAACCTCAGGACACTGCTCTTTGTGGCCCAGCTGCTCCAACTCCAACTATTGCTAAAACAGCCCTAGATATGCCTCAGACTTCTTCTCCAGATGGTGCAAACCATAAGCCTTGGCAGCCTTCACGTGGTGTTAAGCCTGTGAGCGGGTAGAGGGCAAAAGTTGAGGCTTGGGAGCCTCCAACTAGATTTCCGATGATGAAAGGAAAAACCTGGATATCCAGGCAGAAGTCTGCTGCAGGGATGGAGCCCTCATGGAGAATCTCTAGTAGGGCAGTGTGAAGCAAAAATGTAGGGTTGAAGCCCCAACACAAAGTCCCCACTAGGGAATTGCCTAGAGGAGCTGTGAGAAGAAGGTCACTATCCTCCAGACCCCAAAATGGTAGATCCACCAACAGCTTGCCCCATGCACCTAGAAAAGACACAGACACTAAATTCCAGCCTTTGAAAACAGCTGCAGGGGCCATACCCTGCACAGCCACAGGGACAGAGCTGCAAAAGTCCTTGGGAGCCCACCCCTTGCATCAGTGTGACATGGGTGTGAGACATGGAGTCAAAGGAGATTATTTTGGAGATTTAATATTTAATGACTGCCTTGCTGGGTTTCAGATTTGCATGGGGCTTGTATCCCTTTGTTTTGGTCTATTTCTCCCTTTTGGAATGAGAGTATTTAGCCAATCACTGTGCCTTCATTGTATCTTGTATTAACTTCTTTGTTTTTGATTTTTACAGTCTCACAGGCAGAAGGGACTTGCCTTGTCTCAGATGAGAATTTGGACTGTGGACTTCTGTGTTAATATTGATAATGAGATGAGTTAAGACTTGGGGGACTGTTGAGAAGGGTTGATTGCATTCTGCAGTGTGAGAAGGGCATGAGATTTGGGAAGGGGCAGGGTTGCAAATATATGGTTTGAATTTGTGTCCCCAACCAAATCTCATGTCAAATTGTGATCCCCAGTGTTGAAGAAGGGGCCCGGTGGGAGATAATGTAGATCACAAGGGTGGACTTCTCCCTTGCTGTTCTCATGATAGTGAGTGAGTTCTCATACAATCTGGTTGTTTAAAAGTGTATGACACCTCTCCCCTCCCTTTCTTCCTTCTTCTCCAGCCATGTAAGACATGCCTGCTTCCCCTTCAACTTCTGCCATGATTGGAAGTTTCCTGAGGCCTTCCCAACTGTGCTTCCTATACAGTCTGCAGAACTGTGAATCAATTAAACCTCTTTTTTTTATATAAACTATCTAGTCTTGGGTAGTTCTTTATAGCAATGCAAGAATAAACTCATATACCACCCTATCAGGATAACACATATAGACTCTCCTTATTTATGCCCTGATATTTTAGCCCTGTTTCCATGGAAATAACCAGGTTTCTAAGCCAAAGAGATAATGTAAAGCCATTAAGTTAATAATTAGGACTAGAGATACAAAGTTTATCTAGACTATGTTATCCTGGACTGATACATGCAATCTTATTCCTCTAATTTCTCCCTAAATGCTCTTCTGCCTGACTCTTGTGCTAACACAAACCAAGCAGCCATCATTTCCAAACTGTACCCTCCTGCCCTAGCTGCCTGAAGTCTAGCCATGAGTATTCTTTAACACTTCCTTTGCATTGCTTGGCAATTACAGGAGCATCAATGTTATTGCCCTAGCTGACCACTGAGTGTATGGTCATCAAGAATGTTGCCCTATTCCTGAACAAACCAAATAATAAAAACTAACTGAGGTTTAAAAGGTCAAAGCTAAAATCAACAGGTTACCTCACCAGCTAGGCATCTTGTGTTCTTTTTTGGCTGATGACCAAGAAGAAGAGTCATCTGTGACAGGCAGAAAGTGCAAGGGAATATTTCAGGCAGAGTAAGCAGGCACTCAGGGGTTAGAACTGTACAATGATGAACTCAATATTCCTGCCAAAATACAGACTTTTGGTTAAAGGCAATAAATCACTTTTGTTTATGTAAAAATTGCTTGAACTTAAAAAAAATAAAGAAGAGGATATGTTTTATTATTCACAGCCATCCAGAAGTGAGGACTGGCCTTATATTTTTGATACTCTCTGTGGCCCTTAAATAGACATAAAAGTAAACTAGGGTATACAGTGAGTCCTCACTTAATATTGTCAATAGGTTTTTGAAAAGTTTGACTTCAAGGGAAACAATGTACTGCATTAAAGAAACAATTTTACCATAGGGTTAATTGATATAAACAACAGTTAAGTTTCTATAACATACAGTATATCCAAAAACTTATAGGCAAGTTTGAATAAGACATACTGTATTCCTTAGTGATGTGTTGCAGGGTTCAATATTCAGTTTGACTTTTTTTTGCATGTTTTATTTTTTAAAAATTGTAGGTGACGTGATAATTGCACATACCTATGGGTACATAGTGATTTTGCTTGACTTAATGTAGTGTGGTGGTGGTGATGGCGGTGGTGGTTTCCGCTTGTTGGAATGATCTTTCAAATTTTAATTGAGAGAATTTTGAGAAGCAAAACTAAAAGAGGTAATGAAAGGTCAAAGTCAGTTCTAACAATTGTCAATTGGCAAAATTTGGCCAGTTATTAAAGCACTGGTAGGTTAATTCAACACTGGTGAGAGTATTTATACCAAGGAAATGGCCAAACACAGTTATCAGTGGGGATTTTTTTCTCTTTTTATTTATTTATTTTTCTTTTCTGGAGAGCCAGTTGTTAAACATCTACCAATACACAACTGAACAAATTCTCCCCTAAAACTTGCAATCCAGATCAGTGTAAATTATGATAAGCAGCAGAGGAAAAGCACCTCACCTATATCCATTTTCTCATTCATGGTTTCAGGGGATAATCCTTACTACCTAGAACTCTAGATTAATTCAGGTAATAAAAGCAAGTCTTCATAAAGAACTTGGCTCACAGGGAGCTGAGGAACAACAAAAAAGAGTTAACATGAAGTGTGAAATGGTTATGAATCCTGAGCCCATTTATTTTAGCTGAAAGCACATAATTTATTAAGAATGAACAAAAAGGGAAAAGTCATCACATTTCCTCCAGTTAATAATGCCCTACACTTCCTCTGTC